GTAATACCCTAAACGCTTGACGTATCCACTAACCACAAATTGACTTTATACGATGTAATACCCTAAACGCTCGACGTATCCACTAACCAGAAATTGACTTTATACGATGTAATACCCTAAACGCTTGACATATCCACTAACCACAAATTGACTTTATACGATGTAATACCCTAAACGCTCGACGTATCCACCAACCACAAATTGGCTTTATACGATGTAATACCCTAAACGCTCGACGTATCCACTAACCACAAATTTACTTTATACGATGTAATACCCTAAACGCTCGACGTATCCACTAACCACAAATTGACTTCATACGATGTAATACCCTAAACGCTCGATGTATCCACTAACCACAAATTGACTTCATACGATCTAATACCCTAAACGCTCGACGTATCTACTAACCACTCAATGCAATGCATCTTTCTAGGCATGTTAGTAAACTATATAGTGAGAATATCATGTTATAATAACATAACGATAAATGTGTGAAACAGGTTACAAAATCATGCTCATCGATTTAACTGTGCCTACATTTGAGCTTAGTAAGTCACATATACGTACAGACACACATCGGCCAGGCATATTCATAAAAAGATTGTCAACACAATCTAGTTTGTCCTGAATTTCTAAACCTGAAAAGTGTGATACAAATGTTTGCGTCGCTTTCGTTACCACATGACTATGTGTTCGTTTTAGTAATCATGATTACGCAATACTAGTATAACTTGAATACTGTGATTACGTGAGAAACTATATGGGGGTGACACAGTAGAAGTTGCATTCTCATATACGTTAATTTGATGGAGATCGCTCGGGATATTTAGATTTAAATATAGATTGGAACTTGTATGTATTATGTACATATAATTCGAATACACTTAGTTTTAACATCGTTTAATTAGATTTAACGCACCAGTTGTTTCGGCGCTTTCCTGAAGCTGATGCAAGATTCAGAAATACCCGATATGAGACTTGAAATATGCAGTATTTAAACTATCTTCCTGGTATCATGTATGAACAGTTGTACGTATAAAATATACACATACATATTTTGAAACATAAAACATGGGATTAGATATTTTTTATTTTATTTTACGGGAAATGTTTTCCTTGAGGGAAGAAATGCACATGCAATCATACAATGTTAGTCGAGAACATCTTAAATAGTATTCACAATGTATGTTCATTTCAACTGATTCCATGTCGTATTATATAAAATTTGTATTTTAAAATTAGTTAACCATTTGTTTCTATGTTACTTTTTGCGCTACCGAATTTATAACCCAAATGAC